TAGTGGTTCTATGCTAGTCTATTGGTTCTATGCTGGTCTAGTGGTTCTATGCTAGTCTAGTGGTTCTATGCTAGTCTATTGGTTCTGTGCTGGTCTAGTGGTTCTATGCTGGTCTAGTGGTTCTATGTGAGTCTATTGGTTCTATGCTGGTCTAGTGGGTCTATGCTGGTCTAGTGGTTCTATGCTGGTCTAGTGGTTCTATGCGAGTCTATTGGTTCTATGCTGGTCTATTGGTTCTATGCTGGTCTATTGGTTCTATGCTGTCTATTGGTTTTATGCGAGTCTAGTGGGTCTAGGCTGGTCTATTGGTTCTATGTGATTATATTGGTTCTATGCTGGTCTATTGGTTCTATGAGATTCGATGGATCAGCGGTGGCCAACCGGCGTCTCCCGAGGAGCATGCAGCTCTATAATAATCCACCCAAATGCTGCTCTATGGAAGGGGCATAGCGTAGCACGCACAATCAAAGTAGTAGCAAGTAATAATGTCTCACGTTCTGTGCCGAAAACAATCAATATATATAGATACACACTTTTTATATATACACACTTGGCTCTTTGCAGAGTTCATGTTTACCTCTGGGCTCTTGGCCTGTTACAGGTTGGCCAGCCCTGCCGCTATGGATCTCTCTGTTAAGTCTGTGGGTGTACTATGTGAGTCAATGGGTCAGCTACATTCTTGTCGATTTAAAGCTTTCGTGACTGCAGGGATTCATATTCTTGGTTCTTTCGATAAAGTCACGTAGAAGGGAAATAATAAAATAATAAAAATAAAACATAATATAATAACATTCTCACGACGTTTCGGCCACAACGCAAGCAGCCGTCCTCAGATGAAGAAACAGAGCTGTAGTTTGCCTATCCATCGTTGTCATTTATGCTCTGTACAAGCGTGGCAAAATTGATCCTTCGAGTTTGAGAGTCACTTAGCGATGCCCTTCAATGTGAATTGCTGTGGTGTGGTCTCTTTTAGGTGGAGGCCCCGAGACTCTATCCTGGCGTCGTGTCTCTCTCACCCAGCTGAATGTGCATTGCAAACAAATCAATTCAATCTCTTTTTTATGCAATCAAAAATATCCCATTTTGTAGCTGCTCACCCCGAGCTATAAGTGCCCTCATAGTGGCTTTGTCTTTGTGCTGTTCGCCTTTGGACGTTCATCTGGTCTCACACTGGTGGTGAGACTGGGCCCTGAAGAAGGCTGTCTTCTCAAGCAGGGCCGGAGCCAGAATTTTCAGCCCGGGGTGACATTCAACAAATTTTAATTTCAAGAATGATTAGAGAGTCAGGCTGTTGAACTAGACGCCATCGGTTGGCGACACACTCTGACAATGAAGTTGCACGAAGTCCGCCAGACCGAGTGTCGTACACTTATACGAAGAATGTTTCAGATTTTCGATTTTTTATTTTTTTCGGGGGTGACAATTGTCTACCCTGTCACCCCCCTGGCTCCGCCCCTGGTCTCAAGTGTAGGCCAATCAGTTGCAAAGACCACGCCGTGTATAATTATGAGGCATGTATGTTCACCACAAGTACTGTGTGCGGTTAATGCAGACTTGATTCCTTGCACAAGGTTTATGTTCGGTATTTGAACGTCTTAACACCTCCTTTATCGCCAACCCCCTGTTCTTATTTTTTTTTCACGTTATGTAATCGTGACTACGAATTGTGGGGGGGGGTGGGGCGGGGGAGTTTCTGATTGGCTCAGAGCGTTCGTCGCTGTCATTGGCTGCGCGCACGGTAAACGAAAGTGACCCGGGGGTGTTCTCTACTCGTGCGCGAAGTTTGGATTTTATTCACTTCTATTGTTGTTGGGAATACCAAACAAAACACAATGTTTCTCCGACATAAAGAACGCTCTCACGAATCAGCGTTCTACGGGGCGGCTCTCAGCGACGTCTGCCCCTAATAACGGATCCCACAGTTGTTGCGGTGCGTTGTTTTGCCAAGGACTCATCTCGGAGCCCGGCGCGCCTGCTAATCCCCGCGCAGTTGCACCGCCTGCACACTGCGTTAGCTACGCCCACGGCGCTTGAGGCGTTGCCCACGTGGGTGGACGGTGTCCTGCGTGAACCCTGAACCCGCCTAGGGCGGTGCTGAGCGACTCGGCGACGGATATTAGCCGCCGGTTAAACACATAACTCCACGTCTATTGGCTTGGCGGACATGGGCAAGATAAACGCTGGACCCACCCGAGCACAAATGTAAGCCAAGTAAAGCAAAATGGGCAGCAAGTCAGCCTTGTGTGTGTGGCATATATACTTTAGTATACACGAGAGAGGGGGCACAAAGCCAAATGGTTTTCATTTATTTCTCTTGCTGTCTGTCCACCCTCTCCGACTGGCGCAGCAGTGGAAATATGAAGCGTCCACTCCGCATGGCCGTGTTTCTGTGTTTACGTGTGTCTGTGTGTACGTGTGTCTGTGTGTACGTGTCTGTGTATACGTGTCTGTGTGTGTGTGGGGAGCGGTGGGGGAGCGGTGGTGCAGCGGTCAGCGCGCTGCGCTACGAACCCAGTATTCCGGGTTCGATTCCTGCTCACGGCCAACACCGGTGACGATTATCTGAACCCGTCTCGGCCCTCCACCAGGTCGACTCGGCCTCAAATGAGTACCCGGCAGCGGCGAAGACGGTCGGGCATGGTGCTGGCCACCGACCCCCACCCCCACTGTGTACCGTGCCGGCCTTAATGGGTGCTCGCGAACAGCACTTGCCCCAAAAGTCTGTTAAGGCTATGCTTTGTCTGCCGTGCCGGCCATTCACTAGTGCCCACTTACAACACTTGCGCCAATATTCGTTTAAAGGCAATATAGGGGACCTTTGTATTTGCGCTGTACCCAGGGTACTCCGTGGTGGCTTTGAATGTGTTCTCGCCGATAGCGCTTGTTGTTTTAACAGCCCGGAAAGGAATTGACTGGGGATCTTTGCCTTCGTCGCCATTTGGGGAGACAAAGGCGGCCGTGTGTGGTTGCTCGCCACACCGCCTGCTCGTGCGCAAATCCCCGGCTTAATGCTCGCTGACGGCACAGCCTTCGTGAAGATAGCCGTGGGTTTTTGTAATTGTGTTGGTAAATAAAGACACACACCTCCTTATATAGCCTGAACCTATGAAGACCGGCACGGCACACGCGAGGTCGGTGGGTGGTCACGACCACGCCCGGCCGCCTTTGTCTCCCCAGTTTACAACGTCCCACCAGGTACTCATTTGAGAGGAGAATATTAGAAAATAGATAACGCATTAAGGCACGGTGATGACTCGTCTATGGCTTCCGAGATCTCACTCCGTCCGGTGCCTTACGTCCTGTATACACACACACATATACACACACATACATATATACACACACACATATATACACACATATAGATATACACACACGTACATATACACACACACACATATACACACACGCATATATACACACACATACATATACACATACGTACATATACACACACATATAGATATACACACACGTACATATACACGTACATATACAAAGCAAAAACAAAGATCCCCCATATAGCCTTAACAGACTGTAGGGGCAAGTGCTGTTAGCGAGCACCTATGAAGGCCGGAACGGTACACGAAGGGGTGGGTGGCCAGCACCACGCCCGACCGCCTTTGTCTCCCTAGTGGCACACCGCACCAGGTACTCATTTGAGGCTGAGTCGACCTAGGGGAGGCCCAGGACCAGTTCAGATAATCGTCACTGGTGTTGGCCGTGAGCGGGAATCGAACCCGGGTCGCCAGGTTCATAGTGCAGTGCGCTAACCGCTACACTATCGCTCCCCAGTACATATACACACATACATACACACACACGCATACATACACACACATACATATACACACACATACATATACACACACATACATATACACACACATACATATACACATACATACACACCGCAACGACTATCTATCTCACTGTTGAACCGCGTGCTGTTTCTTGCGTGCACTATTGACCCCACCTATCGTTTTCAGTGGAACGGTTTGGGGGGGGGGGGCGATCGAGGCTGGGGGTCTTGCGGCTTAGAAGTGCAACCAATAAATATTTGAGCGCGGTCGGCGTGGGTGGGGAATAAGCTCGTGCGGGGCCTATAGCATATGTTATATAAACACACACACAAATATGAAAACACGTACATTTTTTTGCTTGCGTAGTAGAGTAATTGGATTTTTTCATTTTGCTATACAGCCGAATAATACGACAAATCGCTAACCTTAAACACGCAGGCGTTCGTAAAAGTTGAAGGCGGTATAGTACTACAGTAATAGAGCAAGTGCAGAATCACTGAACCGAAATTGATCGCTTGAAAGCGTTTAGCGCTGGGCCCTTCAGAGCGCGGGGCCCGTAGCTGCTCCATGTGTAGCTGCTTGTGCTGCGAGGATCATCCGGCACTGGGTGCGAGGTGGGTTAGAGGGGGATGGGGAGGCGAGCAAGGAGGAGGTGAGCAAGGAGGAGGTGAATCTCTTTACGGTCGTGTCCGAGAGTCTGATAGCGGCGACTTGGTGACGACTTTTTGTTTACGGCCTGCGCCGTGTTCCGAACGCGGCGTTCTCTTCGCGAAACGTGTATCCCTCTCTCTCTCTCCTCGGGCATTCTCTGCTGCCTAATAAGGAGCCGGGACGGTGTGTTCGTGGAGGCAATATACGGGCGGCGCAGTGTGAAGCTTGCGATGACGGACACAACGCGCGGAATCTCGGGGTATACAACTATCGAACGCTTTTCGGTGTGTCCAACGCGTCGTGTTTGCAGTGGGTTGGAGAGTGGCGGGTTCGTGTCAATCCCCGCTTTTCAGCCCCACCTTCGTTGGGCGCGGTTTGGGCTACGTACGGTGCGAAATAAGTCCAACGTGCTGCGCTGTACGAGAGGCGCTACAAAATCGGTGCTTGAATCGATCTGCCACTGTAACCGACATGGCTGTGGGTAAGGACTTCATCCTGCAGTGGCATAACCTGTAAAAAATTTTTATTATTATTTCACAGCAGGGTTATAGAGCGCTCACCAATCAAGCACCAACGTTGCAAACAACAACCATCGTGGCTTTGCACGTTGTTCCACCTGCAGTGGAGGAGGGGGCGGTGGTGAGGTGTGCATTATGACTTCATGCCAGGCCTTGCCATGAACCCATACACCGAGGAGGAAGCGGCGGGGAGGGGGTCATCGATTGGTGAGTCGATTCGTGACCGTCACAGACACGGTGTCCTCTCCATCTATTGCTTATCATCTCCCTCGCAACCATGTGAACGTTGAGCCTCCCCCGCACTTTCCCCCTCTGTAGCTCCTCCTCCCCCAATCATTCGTTTACCTGTGCAGCATTCCTCACCGAAGCACCATCTCCTTTCTTTCCATTCGCAAGCGTGGGTCCAAACATCCACCACCCCGCCCCCCGTAGCTTGGCCATTCTCCTACCCACGCTTCGAATACAAAGGACAAAGATGCCCGCCGCACACCCCACTCGTATGGCATTAACAGACTGTTGGGGAAAGTGCCGTTTTGCGAGCATCTACTGAGGCCGGCAAGGCACACGAGGGGGTAGTTGGGCAGCAGCACCCCCCGGCTGCCTTTGTCTCCCAAGTGGCGATGTTTACTACACACCGCACCCACACCTCTCAAACCCTTATCAGTGTAGACCTTATTACAGACCAATTCAGACCTTATTGGTCAACCCATGCCCTTAAACATCTCAACGTTCACCTTGTAAACTACACTACTATACACTACATACCTGTCAACCCCTTATCAGTGCATCCCTTATCACAGATCAAGTTAAACCTTATTGGTCACCCCGTGCCATTATAAATCTCAACGTTCATTCTACAAAGTCCCATCACAAGGGAGAAACACCAAAAAAATAGACATTTTTTTGCCCGAATATGAAACGGCTGTTACGCCGTATGGACTTAAAAATTTAATTTCCCCGTACAAGATTATGGGGTTAAACCGCATGGGTTGACAGCGATGCGCAGCAGGTAGTAATTTGAGATTGAGTCGACGTATGGGGGTGTGTGGTGTCACGGAACCGGCGGTGGTGGCGTAGTGCGCTAACCGCTGCGCCACCACTCCCACGCAAACAATAAACGCTCGCACACTCGCGCATACAATGAGAACGCCGCAGCCCCGCGCGCCGAGATGTTAACTACCTCTCCCGGTATACAGGCGTTCGTGGGTGTCCATCCCGACCCTGACGCCTGCTGTATATTTGGAGTTTGCGTGTTCTCCCCGTGGTAGCGTGGATTTTCTTCCGGAATCAACGTCACGCATTTAGAGTATTTGGCTGATATACGTTTCCACGTGACGATAAGACACTTCGTTGAGCTATCGTTTGTGAGTCAGGTCCGCTTCTGAAAAATAGCTACATAGCTCAGTGTGGGCGGGGCGGGGGAGGGGTGTTTTACCTAGTAAAATAAAAACAAATAGTTTTAAGAAGAAAAAAAAGTACAACACGCACGCTGGAAACACCGCTGCATTGTGCTTGGCAATGATGCCCCATGGAGAGGTAGACTACGCACGAATATCCTCATCGTTTTGCCTCCTCCTGGCCCGGTGGGTAGGGAACACGTTTCTAGCTGCCCCCCCACTCCCCTCCGCCAGAGCCCTCCCTCCACGACTCCGTTTAGCTCCGAGAGGCGTGGAAGAATCTGGCAGCGATCGACGCGAAAACGCCCAAATTTTCTCGCACAAACACACACACTGTTAAGCCCGGCCTGGTCTTGCAAAGGGTAAAAGGAGAGAGGCGGGGAGGGGAGCGGTTGGCTGCGGTGTTTGAGCTATCGGAGGAACGAGTTGTACCGCCCACACCACCAACTAACCAAACACCGGCTGCGTGTGTTTGTGTTTTCTCTTTTTCTGCTTCCCTTTCTCGCCCAGCGCCAACGAAGAAGGAGCGATGAAGGAGGAAGGCGTGAGTAATATGCCACGGCAGGCTAAGTCAAGGTAAAGCTCGAGTTGAAAGCCGAACTGAGCTGGGCTGTGTGTGGTGTGAGTCAATGTTGACCAGCCCCACCGCCAGACCCTGCCCGCTGCCATAACTCGGACCACTCCTTCAAGTCGGGTGACCGATGTGCCCCTTTAGAGGAGTCGGGAGAGACCTCGGGGAGACCCGCACAATGAGAATTCGGACAGAAGTTGATGCGCCGCAAAGAAACTAGATGTTTGTTTCTTCATTCTTCGTCGAATCACCGTCTTTCAGTCGAGAGACGTCAAGCGCGATCTGCTCTCTTTTTTTGTCCTTTTGCTTTCAAAAGCAGCTGGGACACGAAAGCTCGCTTTTTGACCTACGGTGCTCCAGGGTAAACAATGGGGTTGATAACCTTCGGCACACATGGTAGTAAAAAGAAAATGTGCACTGCAGGGTCAACAAAATATATCATCGACCAAACGTGCCCCCAAAGTTCCCCCCAACGCCCCCCCCACGCCTCACCCCGTATGGATACAGCTAAATAAAGAACGACGCTAACCACGCAACTACGGGGTTGAGTGCGGGGGGGGGGGGCTTCATGATTACCAACGCGAAGCGATTGTGTCGACGGATAATAGATGTTAGAAGCCGCGTGACTAATGGCTAAGCCGTCGACCTTATAATTACGTGGGCAAAAGGTGTGTAAAATAAAAAGTGGTGTTCGCGTCACGAGCATACCGACCAATACATTTTGATTCGCCTCGGCCCATATCTGCAAGCGATAACTAACAAGCGTGCAGACCAATTGAGTGTACGTCTTGGAAAACAAAACTTTAAAATCCCCATCGCTCCCGATGGATGGATCTTCCTGCAAATGTTCTACGAACAGACGGGGGGGGGGGTGGGGCGAAAGCTTCGAACTTGTGGCGTTTCCAGCACGTGCGTTGTTTTTTTTTGGACACTCGCCCACAAACAACAAAAACCTTCACAACATCATCGTCATCATCATCTGGCACAAGCAGCCATGGTCAATCCACTGCTGGGTGAATGCCTTCCCAAGCTCAAGACGAACCACATCAAACACTCTCCCGTGACGTAATAATCCAAGCCAGCACTTGCACCTTAAAGAACAAGCAATTACATTTTTTCGTGTGTGCGCCTGTGTAATGTTATTTTTAGACTTGTGTAAGTAATTTAACACTTCCTGTTTGGCCCCAAAAAAAGGTCCAATTTTTTAAAAAAGAGGAGAGGGGGGGGAAGGAGGAGGAAGGGAAGGTACCTTTTCCATAGGTATGTCTTGAATGGAAATATACTTTAAAAGAGAAGTGAAGGGTTTCAATCGGGGTGGCCTTCAAAGAACCAGGGTAGTGTTTGCGACGTGCTCTGCGGGATGGGTGCGCCGACGCGTGCGCACAGACGTCCAACTCGCAAACTCCACGTGACATTTGATCGGCGCAGAGAGAGTGTACACCCACACAGCCACGCAGCAGACAAAGATCTCCCGTATAGCCTTACTCAGACTGATGGGGCAAGTGCTGTTAGCGAGTAGCACCCAATCAAGGCCGGCACTGTGGTACACGAAGGGCGTGGGTGGCCAACACCACGCCCGGCCGCATTTGTCTCCCCAGTGGCGATGTTCACACGCAACACCGGGTACTCATTTGAGGCCGAGTCGACTTAGGAGAGGCCCCCAGAACCGGTTCAGATAATTGTCACCGGTGTTGGCCGTGAGCGGGAGTCGAACTCGAGACACCGGTTTCGTAGCGCAGTGCGCTAATAGCTGCACCACCGTTCCCCACACCCACCCACGCACGCACGCACCACCGGTGGCCCATACAGTGTGAGTGCTGTGGGCCACACGAGCAGCCGGTCACCAGAGGGCAAACGGCGGTGGCTCGCAGCCAACACGAATTCTCGTAATGAAGTGACACGATACTCTTTGGTTCTATTGGGTAAAGTCACGTAGGTGAAAATAAAACAACAAAAAATCACGACGTTTCGGCCACAACACAAGCGGCCTTCATCAGGTGAAGGGACGAGACTGTCTGGAGGACACCACTCCTACGTGACTTTACCCAATAGAACCAAAGAGTATATACGAAAGCTTTAAATCTAGAATTGAAGTGACACGATATGACCACCCACCAGCGCCAGAGTGCTCATAATGACTTGCTCCTGCAAGCACTTGGTTCCACTGCGAATGAAAGACTTCCACGAGGTATCGCAGTCGTCATCCACAGCCAATGTCTATCCGCTGCTGTTAGCCCCCCCCTCCACCACTCCACGTGGGGTGTCTCTGGCTACCAGACTGCTTTTGACTCATCCACACCACCACACTATAGGCCAAACACTTCTCAGTTTGCTTCTTGCCTCGAACTATTGCCGCTTGGGAATTCCCCTCCCATAGTCTGCTTCGCCCCCCCCCCTCCCCGAGTTATTATTCATCACCACCTTTTTTCAATCGTCGAAACTTATAAACACTTTATCCATTGCAACTTTAAACAGTGCTCTTTGTTGCAGGATACTTGGCGTTTTATGGTCCTGTTCTCAGAAACCTTGACTTTAAAAAAAATACACGACTCATGGCAGCTGATATTCACTCGTGAAAAAAAGAGCCGTATAGCTCATTGGATTTCTCCAGTATAAATATTGTGATTCTGAATTGTACGCCTCCCTCCAAAGCACGTATCCCATACTCATCGTCATTATCAGCCATGATCAATCCACTGCTGGATGAAGGCCTCCCTAAGCCGTCGCCGTTCCTCGCGGTCCTGCGATGGCCACAGTCCGTCTCGCCCGTGCCCAGGAGCTGATCTCATTGCTTCATCTCAGCGGTGGTCGTCCTCCAGACACATTTCCCTCCTCGAGCTGCCATTCCATTACTAGTCTTGTCCATTGGTCACAATCCCTTTGAGCGATGCGATAAATGTCCCGCACTTGTTTTTCTTTTATGCAAGAAACTTTTTTTGTTGTTTCAGGAGGGCCTGCCTATTCCTCGGAATGTTTGATCATTTCCATTAGCCTGTGGCACCAGTGGGAGGATAACGATCCAGAGAAACACCCGCACCAGTGGGAGGATAACGATCCAGAGAAACGCCCGCACCAGTGGGAGGATAACGCACAGGTGGATTCCATCGCTATACTGCGATTTCCGGGCGACCCTGACGTGTGCCTGCGAAAGTCGAATCGCTTAACAGCTAAAAAGCCGACGCCTCCGTACACCCACGCAGCACACAGTATGTGAAGAGAGGCTAGGCAGTGCTTGGAAGAGTTGACGACCTTGCAGAGACGGCCGCATAAACCATCACGTGCACTCCGGTCATCCTCGCAGCAGCGGCGTTTGGCTAGCCATCGAACAAAGACGGTCACCGCATCGCGCGCTTTCAGGGGCCCTTCTGCGGCCGTCTGGAACGCTCTTCCTCCCGAAATTAGGAAGTCACTGGCGCTATGCACTTTTAAGTCTCGATGACAATCTAATTTCTTTGAAACCGCTTTTGTGATTCGTTTGTTGTTCCCCCCCCCACCCACCTCCGATTAGCACGGTTGGCTACGTACGGTAAGAAAGAAGTTCAACAGAGAGGCAGGAGTTGTTCGGTGGATGCAGGGGCGCAGTGCAGCAAAGTCTGTACTTTACTCTTCTCCGATATCTACGCTCACCACTTCTATCAGCCCGCAATGACCAGCACGGTGAAGTATGTACACACACACGCATGTACGACATCCTCCAATACTGGCGAGGTGACGTTTAAATGTCCGGCGAATTCAACAAACCTCGGTGTATGGTGAATCTGTGAACGTGCAACTTCCTGGGGCGTTGGATGAGGAACCGTGGTTTCATTTTCTTGGTACACAAAAGGGATGTGTAATCGTTGCTCTGCCAGTTCTTATCCAATCGAACAGGCGTTGCATAATGCTAAGAAAGAAGGGGTGTGTACAGAACCCCCCTGGTTGTATTTACGCGGGCTACGTGAACGTGTCGCATGCCGTGCCACCTGGTGATCCGAATGCCAGCTACGATGCGTCATGAAGACGGAGCATGAGATCACGTGTGAAGAGAGGCATGGACAAATGCACGCGTGGGATTACCAACACTTTAGAGACACGCATAAAAGCAGCACGTGCTTCCAACAAATTGCATAGGTTAAAGACATTTTTACTTAAGAAAAAAAAGTTCCCTTTGGCAGATGTCGGTGGAATGGATGTTGGCTGGTGGACGAGATTAAGGAAGGCATGGCTGCCAAAGAAGGGGACATGCCTGGGAGGACATGAACCGTGGAGACGAAGCGATGGAATCGGCTCGTTTGCAGGCGCCGCTGGGTGGATCGTCACATCGTGGGACGATGAGAAATGGTGACGGCTTGGGAAGGCCTTCGTCCAGCAGTGGATTAACTGTGGCTGATGATATTTACTTTTCAGTGATAGTCAAGAATTTGTTTTACCACGTTGCTTATATTATTGATGTGTTCTTGTCCAGATTGTACAGTATTATTTTGGTCCATTAGCATGAATTTAACATGAATCCTATTTTCATATATTTTCCATGAACCTTAAGCAACGATATTTCGCACGCACGATTATAAGCATGTCATTTCGAGTGCGAATCAACAAATCGATGCAATATTACATTGCCAGGCTTCAGACAGAAGTGGTAATCGACAAATTCCCTGCCAATTCATTGGTAAGTTAAATACAGAATAACACGATGGAAGAGTACATAACCCATCTGTTCGTTAGGCAGCACAGTTGCAGCTCTGTTAATCGAAAAAAATGACCCGTAACGACCGACTCTTAGGAAAAGTCCATTTCACGCACAGGTAGGGCTGACCAGGTTCCGTCTTTTGAACCCCAAAATATCTAAATGGAAGAGTCCACATCGAACGAGGCACACCTGCACCTGGGGTGCAATCTCTCACCGAATATTGTATGCGTCGCCGGTAGACTACAGTGGGACATGTGAACAGTAGCCACGGCCATAGCGTACACTGGGTGTGGTCTGCCGGGTGCCAAACATATTTTCCTTGGTCGCCAACCCGCACAGACCCAGCCGACATTGATCCCCGCCTCTGCTGTTACGGTTCGCTGGTGCCGGACGTGACCCACTTGGGAGGGTCTTGGGCTGCCCGTGTTTCAGACGGACCCATCAAAAGGGGCATTAAAATACCCGCAGCCGTTCAACAACTTCTTACAGCACGACTCGTGAAGAACTGACAGGTGCTATTTAAAGCTGCATCTAATTTGGCAGATGAAAGCATCAAGGCCCCTCCCAAGATGAGTGAGTGGAGCGGTAGGCGCTTTGCTGTAACGGGCTAGAAAAGCTGGCAACTCAATTCCTGCTCACGGTCAACACAAATTTAGATATCTAAACGGGTCCCCGGCCTCCCCTTGGTCAATCACAGGTTTAAATTAGTAGCTGGTACGATGTGTAAACGTAGGCAGTGGGGAGATAGAAGCGGTTAGGTGTTATGCTGGCCACACCACCCCCCTCGTGCGCCATTCCAGCATTCATTGGTGGTCGCTCACAGCACTTGCCCCAACAGCCTGTGTGGACTGTATGGGGGATCTGTGTCTTTGTGCGTGGGTGTGTGTGGGCACAGCTTAAGGCTCTCTCTCCCAACTGCCAGCCATTGACAGTTGAGGATGGTATTAAAATAGCCACTGTCTGGTCCTCTGTAGAAGCTAATAGATATAACTTTTCCCACTCAGCGTCTTTTTTCCACTTATTGGCTTTTATTAATAGCTCAAGTGCCAGCAGCCGATACGCACACGTTTAAACATATCTACCCTCAAGTGGCCTAGCACAGTCGGCGTGGGCCCGGGGTACAAGGAATAAAATTGGTCCCCCTGGTCTAACTCCCCCCCCCCACCCCCTCTTCATAGCCCGGTGCCTGGACCTTGTCTCCACGGGTCTTGATGCAATTGTACCGCCCACACACTTGATCGCTGTGCCACTTGTTTAACATCTGTCCTAAGTACAGATACTCACCTGTGAGTATTCTTGATCCTCAGTTGTATCAGAATGTATTATTGTACAGCATGGGATTTTAAACAAGGTATCCATTGCAGTGGCACAGTTGTTCGTGCGATGCTCGATGAACCCGGTGGACCGAGTGAAGTTCCTGGTCATGGATCCCTTTCTCCACTTTACCGACACGCACTGACCAGCATGAAGTATGATTTAAAAAAAATCTTGAGACTTGACACGGCATGGAAAGGCCTTCACATACCCAATAGAATAACAAAAGATTGAAACATAGGTTTAAAAAAATCCATGACAAGATAAGACTAAATGCATTGCACCGAATAAAACAACTTTTAAAACAAGACTTGTTGAAAATGAAACCTGTACCACATACCATGACACATGAGAAGAAAACGTCATACTACGGTGGACAAACGAATGTCGTTATTTTACAAACGCGTTTATTTAGTATACATTATATAATACAAAGTATTGGTTGTTTCTGTAGGATATTTTTCTGTAGCCTTTTTTTCTTCTAAAAACGGAAATGCATTTCCCAGAGACAAATTACTTTAATACGGTAGTATAACAATCAGCGAGCATTGCCAATGAGCTAAGGACACATTCAAGCACACACTCCTGACAATTAGCGCTAACGGGCAAGAGAGCACGCTGCTCTTACAGTATGATGCAGAAACGCAGCGCACATTGTCGACAGAAAAGCGGCTAACAAGGGGTTTGTTACAGCATAGCTTATATATACAGTACATAAGAGACTGCAGAGCCCACTGCATCACACCACTGTGACTCTCAAAAATGCCAAGGTTACTGTTAAAAACCTCTGCACCCTGAACTGTTTTTTGTTTTTTGTTGCTTTCAATGGTACTGCCATTTTTCCACGACACGGCTTACAAATGTTCCATAGACGTTTTCAAAAAAGCGTTTGGAAGGAGCACGCTTCGAACGCACTTCACGGCCACCCTTCTCTTCGCCCCAAGGTGCGTGGATCATTATTAAATAGCGGGGTTCAGCAAGAGCGATGCTGCGGGTCGGACAGGTGGGCCAGCAGAGGGAACAACTCAAATTACGGTGGGAAGAAACGGCTCGTCCGAAAATGATGCGAGTTGGGGGCGTGGAGGGGGAAGAGGGGGCAGAATGGCAGCGGGGCGGTGGGATGCCGTGGGAGGGCGATATGCAGCAAGCAAAGTGGACAATGTGATTGGCAACCATCCAAGTCGCCGACGCCATTTGTCAACTTCTACCGGATGTGTGGAGGCGAACTCGGATGATTGGGGCTTCGACCCCCCCCCTCCTCCCCCATCCTTCTCTATTAGGCGGCGTCGCCGCTGCTACCCCCGCCACCGCCCGCTTGCGCCGGCCCACCCCCCTGTCCGCCTCCACCGCCACCTCCCGGCCCGTTCCTCGCGTGCTCCAGAAACAGCTCCTTGAGCACCACGAGCTCCTTGGACAGCGTCTGGATCTTGGCCTCCAGGCGCTCGTTTTCCTCCTTGAGCTCGTTCACCCTCCGCTGTGTCTCCTCGGCCTTCTCCTTGCTCTTGATGCGGCTCTTCTTGACGGCGATGTTGTTGCGCTCCCGCCGCCGCTTGTACTCGTCGCTGTTCTTGTCCGAGAACTTGAATTTGCCCGGGGGCGTCGACTTCCCGCCGCCGCTGTGCCGGTCGTCGTAGGTCGCCGAGTAATCGCTGTCGCTCGGGTGTTCGGACATGGCGACGGTCGGCGGAACCAGAGAGAGGGCACTCGACCGCTCGCTCGCCTACTCGGTCGCTCGCCGGAGAAACCCACCGCACGGCGAGGACGTGTGACGATGCCGAGGGGCGTGCGCAGTCTCCCCGCAGTGCGGCCAAATCACTGCTCTGCTGCCTGCTCTCCGAAGTCCTCGTGCACGGATCTCCCAGTGTCTCGTTCACTGAAAATAAGTTTTTTTTGCAAAGTCAGCCGTTGGTCGTACATTTTATATGCGCACATGACGTAAACATTGCGGGGAAACTGAATTCGAGATGTCTCCACCGCAGGGTTTTCCAAACTCTGTGTTTCTCATGTCTGCTTTTCGTATTTAGTTTGTTGTCCTTCACCCCCACCTCCGATTGCCAGGGTTGGCTACCTATGATGCGAAAGAAGTTCAATATACATATATGACACCTTGCTATGTTACAACAGCAGACCAATGATCCACAGGGGGACCATATTACAGATCCTGTATTCCATGGCACACCGTGGACGTTTATTCCGTAAGCAGCACAAAAGTTGCATCTACGCGGTGTGTCACGGAATATGGAAAGAATCAGCTGCGCGACTGATCCGTCAAAATATGCACGGGTTGCAGGGTAAGCACATCAAGTGACAAGCAGCAGCTTCCTTAATCCGCAATCATTTCACCGAAGGTTACAATTTGTTTCAAGACTCAAATTGACCAAATGTGCCATATGGGTCTATGTTAAAGGAGTTTTTGTTTATATGTTGAGACTTGGAAATCAAGTTTTTGAAAAAATGCAAGACTCTTTGACTACTCAACAGATTACATCAGCACAGCTCATCTGTGCTGACGGCACAGCTCATGTGCGCTGATGTAAAACCAAAAAAGTAGCGCAGCCAAATATTCTTATTTCACGTACCTTTTCATCTGCAGCTCCACATTTCTCTCTTAGCGTCCTGAGAACGATTGTTTAAGGGCGCTTTATAAATTTAAATTATGATTCTTCTGCAGTTACGCTTTTTGCACTGTAGCACCTTTTGTTTACCTGCAGATCTCCTCGTCGTTGTTTCTGCACCTCCGCATTTCTCTCTGCAGCTACGCCACTGAAACACTTCGCCAAGTGCACATTGCAAAGACGACGAGCGGCCTCTTTTCAATCTTCAGCTTTTTTTTAAAGAAATGCTCATAAAAATAGATAGTAAAATTGTTCTACCATTACCATAAATTCTAATAATCCACGGAAGGCCGCCGGCGCACTACGCCGTGGATTACAAGCCGAATTAGCCACTCCATGGAGAGAACCAGATATCCGTGATTTCACTGCGGACTACGGGAGTAGGGATCCGTGGATAGTTTGCAAATTACAGGGTTTCGCGGATTATTATAGGGTGGACTTTTGGAATTCTGCTTTCTTTCTCAGTTTACTGATTTATTCATTTTCTTTATGAGCTATTAACATCCCGCAGCTGGGCAAAGGTCTTCCCCCACTGTCTTTCACTTCTGTCTACCACCCTTCTTCCATCGGCCTCCATTCCAGTGTGAATTTTGACTGTCATCTGATGTCCCAGTTATGTCCTGTATAAAATCCATGAAGGTTTTTTTTCACTCTGAAAATTACATCTACGTGTACCTAATTTTTTTTGAAAAATATGCAGTGGCAAGTCGCGAGGAATGACTTATGGGAAACCCTGATTTGAGCGCAATGTAATTTAAGAACACCTGTCATCTTTTAATTGGTAGTGGTAACCAATGTTAAAACAACGTTGCCAACACACATCAAGTCATGTGATGACACAAACCACGTTGTATGCTAAAGCTATAATAGATCACTATTCCCTTAGCTGTTTAAATAGCAAATAAAAATGGCATTACTATCAGATAATAACTCTTGTTTGAAATCAGAGATGAGTCGAATGCGTGGTTTTGCAACAAGTAATTAAAGTTATGCTGCCTTTATCTCAACAAAACTTGCCAAAACACTAAACGGCCATGGAAAAGTTACTTAAAGAAACAACAAATATAACTCCCAACCAATCCTGCTGAATTTCAACATTCCTGAAGAGGCCAACACTCAATATATTAAATCCAAACATTACATTTCAGCATTGTCATCTTCTAAAGCCAGCAGCTCAAACGCACCACTGTGCCCATTTACAATGGGAGATAATTTACATTGTTATATTCGGCACAAGACTCGTAAGTGATTTCAAAATTTAGACTAACCCTCTGCCCTGTGAGTGAAACAAATCAACGTCCGGACTGTATTTTTTTTGGAGCCCAAAGTCAAAAATATCAGTTTTCAGATTGTTCTAGTTATAAGCAGGCTTGACTACATTGGTGCCAAGTATCATCTTTATCGCCCTTCTCGAACACTACTATAATCTACATCAATTGCAATCAACTTTGGGTAGCAGATTAAGCAGATTAACATTCTACACAATTCGCCAAATTAGTGGTGATGTTTTTGGCAACATGCAAATGGTCAACAATTGAAGTTTCAACACGTAAATTGGGCATTCATATGGCCTCAGTGGCACTAATAATCGTACTACACAATTTAACCTGCTTCCACCTTGGTGTGTGTCAATTTGACACTTGCCACGGCTCAAATCGGTGGCAAGTGATATCTGAACCGGTCCCGAGCACCCGTAACTTCACCGTTCCACACCATTCGAGCATGGTGAAGTATGGTCAAGCAACCTGCATGACTGACACGGCATGCGAGAGGCCTTCACCCACCAGTGGCTTGATAAAGAATTGAAAATTGTATACTATTACTAACACGTAATTTTACCAAATTCAAAGTGATACAATTATATATTCATCACAATTTGGATTGTCAAACAATAACACGTACGGTTCCTCATTTGGGGACTGCGGTGGGATGCACTTGTTTTGAAAGAAGGGGCCTATTCACGATTTTTTTTAAGTGTTGTCAGGCAACCCTCATGACTGACATGACACGATGCCAGGCTTCATCTAGCAGTGGATTCATAGAGTACTGTAATGTCTTGGGCCTCGACAAATGGGGTTGTTTTTTTCTCCAGCTGAATAGTTTCCCTTTTTTTGGCTGGCTCAGAATAAACTGTACACTTGGCTCATCATAATCCTATCTCAATTATTCTGCTTTAGTCAGGGAATTTGAGTGAACTTTAACAAATGTTCAGCAATGCAGAGGTCACTCTTTTCAATCAGTAACTGGCGGCAGCCACAAGAGACGAGAATGTGGAATTCTGTAAATGAAGAAAGGGCGATGGTTTCGGACAGCTTCTAAGGTCTAAGGAAATAAACAATAGTAATAACTTGGCAATGCTAAAAGTAATAGTAATCTTGAGTTTTAGTAAAAGTAATCCAATAGTGAAGTTTAATCAAGGAATCCAGATTTAGTTCATGTTTTTTTGTGACAGTGTTGTGAGTTAACAAACAAAAGTTTCGTCTATATATACAGTATAATAATTTAGTTATCACTGTCATATACATATGAAAAGTTGTAAATATATGTTATTCAGTAAGTTATATACACATGATCAGTTGTATGTATACACACGTACATTACTGTACAGTACTTGAAGTGTACCACAGCAGTCAGAGACATGTTTTTATATTCTCTCTACAAGAGATTAAAAAAACTAAATATCATCGTCATACAAACATTACAAAACACTCAATAATGAAGATATTACTGACGATTCCGAATATATACTAAGTTTAGTCGATAAAACGTAGAAACTATACGAGCCATTCTAGTTACAGTATTTCTCAAAGAGAAAGAAGCTGTTGTAAGCATTATGCAAACGCCTACCCCGGATTAGCAAAGAAGCAAATTATTATTTTAATTTATTGTACGAACAAAAAAAATGTTCCATCAATTTTACCATCACGAACAGACAACACGATCACAGTCACCAACAACAAACACATCATCAACAACCACAACACACACACACCCCGGCGTTCAACTTAAATCCCACACTCCACCAAAAAACCTTTTGCGTTTAGTCCAAAGCTGTGTCTGGACACTTGTTGTAAGTTTTGAGTACAACACTCCACTTCCTCCTTCTCCTCAACGCTGACCATGTGCCAAATCTTACACACAAGTGTTCACGCCATCAAACACACGACTTCTGCGATGTACGTTATCCTCTGCACATTGTACGTATCGTAATGAGATTACATTCATAATAATGCACATAGCGCCGTATACAATTACGTACTGTGATGTAGAGACTATAGCAACGTGCTCTCATACAGTACTGTCGAAACTTACACCTACAGACCAACCTATATGCACTACACACATTGTACATTTACACGACGTATACAACACAGATTATATTAACTTGCATCACTGGTTAACAGTAATAAGGAATATTACTGTAAATCGTTTTGATATTAAATAAGAGCTACGGTGATTATACGAGCAAAACTACAACACTCAACACATGTGTTGGCCTTAAGGAGAGGTAGGTATACGAGTATAAAACGGGCGACGTTTCGGGCAACGCACCTTCTCCACAGCACATACGAGTTCCAAACATCAGCATCGACGTCGCCTTTCTCGGGAGGTGGCAGTCATACCGAAGTTCGACATTAATAATGAACGAATAATAACACAAACGTCACTATTATCACAGCGTGTTTTTCCTTTGCATGTTCCCCGCAAGTACAGTATTGTGTTGTGGGTAATCCAGCACTTGATTCCTTGCAAGAGGTTTATTTTTTAGCCTTTTAAACATCTTAACGCCTCTTTTATTGCCACAAAGGGGGGGGGGGGGGGGGGGGGGGCGAAACACCTTTCTGAATTTTTTTAAAATTTTCAAAACGTCACTTTGTAATCGCGAAACGTCCCAAAAAAATGTTTTAACGCTTTACGGCACGCCACAGCACCAACGAAGCAAGCGCAACACAACGTGGCTCGTCGCGCAGACAACCGGACATGAAGATACCAATAACAACAACAAAACCCCTCCACAAACTTCTGACGTTCAAAAAGTTGAGGCCCCATTTAACTCGCGCCGCGCACAAACTCCGGGTAACCGCACGACGACGACGACGATCAACGGCACTCACCGGGCTGAGGAGAGAACTGCAGCATCAAAACAACATCCTCGCGATGCCTATTTCTCCACCAAGCGAGCTCCTAGTTTTGTTGTTGGGCTGCGATGACGGCCGCGCGAGTTCACTCGAAGCCCCCCGCGGTGTTGGGATGATGATGATGATGACGAGGGGGGGATAGTTGGGTTGGCGCGGTGTCGGGGTGGCGAGCGAGCGAGCTCTCTCTCTCTCTGGACGGCTGATTAAGGGGTGGCTGGGGAGGGAGGGGGGTGAGGGGTTAATATAGTTTGAGAGATATTAAGAGAGAGATCGGGGAGAGGGGGGGGAATTTGGGGGGCTGCTAGGGCCCCCCTTAAACAAGATGCGATCGCGATGGGTCACGGCTACGCAGGGAGCGAGCGAGCGAAGGAGCCAACCCCAACTGGGTTTGCTGAGGTCAGGGACCGCGAGCAATCGCAGCCAGCCAGGCCCCCCCCCTACCTCCCCCAGCTGCCTGCTATGGGCCAGGGTGTCAGACGTCAGGGGCATTTTATTTATATTTTTCACGAAAAATGTACCACCAGATATAAAGAAACGACTGATTTCAGAGACGTTGCGAGAAGAATGATGACGTTCGTGCTAATTGCACCCCTACAACGCTGTACGTTAATGATAAAACGAGGGCAAAAGCTTATTTGCAGCAACTGCCCCGCAAAATGGAAACGCTCATCAAATAAAATGAAACGGATAAACAAATCGTCAAAAAAAACAAAAGGCGCAAGCAACAAAAGATTGATCACAACAGAGAAATTAGTCCGTTAAAAGTCTCCACATCCCAGACCACAATCTCAACTTTTCACACAAGCCGGGAAACATTCTCAGGAGTGGCTCATTTAGAGCCATCGCTCAAATATTCAAAATGTTATTTCCAGTGCTTGGTTTTCTGCATCGAGGTTCGTGAAGTGTGTGTTGAGCTGATGATTCTGAGGATGGTTGTGTTAGATGTGCACAATACTCGCTCACATTCGTCAATAACAGCGTGTGGCCTAAAAAGGAAAATATATATGATGTGATGTTTTAGTCAATGGCCCATCTTCATGTCGAATTTTACCCCAAGGTAAATTTAAAACGAGACGCAATTATGTTTTAAAAGCACTCAGCCCTTGTGTATTAAAAAAATAAAAAAATAAACCATCAGCGGTTCCTGAAGAACTGCATAGCGATCTTCTTGTCCTAAGTTTCTGTCAAATAAAAAAGGAGCCACTCCTTAAGAATTACTCTTTAAGAATTTGCGTTGTGGGTTTTCCTAGAGATTTTATTATGAGACCTCCTTTGCCAGAAACAAGATATAGGAATAGGTTTTACCCTTTTAACTGGCACAAAAACTGACACCTTTATTCAAGGCATCATGTTTGCAATGACCACAACACAAGCAGTCAAAATGCAAACAAAAAAGATAGACAACTCTGATAATAATATGCACTGTCCTTGAATTTGATTGGTCCACACCCGAGACAGCTTTTCTTAGAGCCTAGTCTCCATTGGTGTTGGACCAGAAGACGCCAAAAGGCGTACAACTCAAAAACAGCGCACTATCAGAGTATTGAGGACTCGGGGTGAGCATTAACATTATGAGACCTCCTTTGCCAGAAACAAGATATAGGAATAGGTTTGACCCTTTTTTGTGCCAGTTAAAAGGGTAAAACCTATTCCTATATCTTGTTTCTGGCAAAGGAGGTCTCATAATGTTAATGCTCACCCCGAGCCCTCAATACTCTGATAGTGCGCTGTTTTTGAGTTGTACGCCTTTTGGCGTCTTCTGGTCCAACACCAATGGAGACTAGGCTCTAAGAAAAGCTGTCTCGGGTGTGGACCAATCAAATTCAAGGACAGTGCATATTATTATCAGAGTTGTCTATCTTTTTTGTTTGCATTTTGACTGCTTGTGTTGTGGTCATTGCAAACATGATGCCTTGAATAAAGGTGTCAGTTTTTGTGCCAGTTAAAAGGGTAAAACCTATTCCTATTTTCCTAGAGATGTTTCAACAACACAAACATGTGTACGCTGTCTACAAAAAGCTCAAAAATTATTAAAATTCCTGAACTCCGTTGTGCTCATGTTGTCTTAAATTACTTGAGACATGATGACGGTACAGCCAATATTAGCACAATGCAGTTCTTCAGGAGCTGGTGGTTTTGCACGATGCTTTAAACCTGAATGCTTTTTGTACACAGTGCACACTTTTGTTTAGGGTTAAGGGAAAAGAGCCTGCAATATTTTGCATCTGTGATGGGTTTTGGCATAATTTACATATTGGAATTGTCCAACAAATGTTGGTTTTATTATTCGTAATTTTATAAGTTGATGATTTGCTTGCATATTTTATTTCATTAGACGTGTAAATCATTCATCAATGCAATTAGCCATACACTCCTAAAACATGTGCCAAGTAAAATGTATTTTCTTCTACATGTGAATACAACATTAACCATTGTTGGTTTTTGCACTGAGGTAATTTCTTGTCAACGATTTCACTGCACGTATATACTATTTGAATTGATGTGCAAGAAAGCGTATTAATTGGCCATAACACTCATTCATAACATTGGGCCAACGAGGTTGAGTCGAGTCGAGGATGTAATGGATGGAAAACGATATATAGGGGGAAGGAAAGAGTGGAAAATAAGAGGAAATTGTGGGAGAGAAACAGAAAAACTGGAGCAAAGGGTTAGGAAAGACGATATGGTGTTGACACTGCACGTGACAGCGTCTGTTTTGTCAGGGGGCGGGGAGAGGGGAAGGATTCAGAGTAGGAATGGCCACGTGGTTTAGATGCTGCACATGTAGGACCGTCCAGAACAAGTTTATACCGTGACAGTGTGGATTTCTGAAATAATATAATTACTGCACAGTACTCTAGCATTCTTACAAAACGATTTATTATTGGTGTGAAGTGCATTTTTCTGTAATTTGTTTTACGTGGTTCTAAACTTATTGTGCGTTTTAAAAAGTACATTACACAAAAATATTATTAAACAAGGATATATGGACCTGTGGAGACATACTGTAATGCATCTTCTCTTTGCAATAGCGACCCTGGTGTAAATCATGTTAAGCATATTATTACAATCTATTGCATATAACATTACTCCTATAATGAGCCAAGAATGTCTGTTTGTGTGTAACGCGCGTGACGTCACTCCACATGCCCCACCCCCCGTCATTAATATTCATGAGCTGGTGGATTTTTACACTCACGCAGAAGAAGGTCGAGTGGAAATAGTTTTGTTTTCGCAAATTCGCTTTGAGTTTGACGTTTCTTTATTGAAAGTGACTCTAATAAATAATTATACGCAGCAGAGACAAAAGGTAAGTCTAATTTATGCTTCTACATTATGGTAAAATAGACATTTCTCTGTGATTTTCCAGATATTGTATCGATTCTAATTTATTGAAACCCCAGCGACCGAAAGCAGAAGAGAATAAAGTATCAGAGCAGTGAATTTGAACATATTGAAGGTCAGTTATCTACAGTGCTACAGTGACATGAAGACTATAAAGTGAGGTGTTTAATAATATAGTTTTGTGCAAGAATCACTGCCATTAATACATTGCTACAGTGAAATGCAGTGAAGTGTTTGATGACATTTTTGTGCAAGATTCACTACCATAAAATTTACACAAGATACAATTATACTGTGCTATATTTTTTCGTAAATATTACAGCTTCCGTCCTAGGACGGGCAAAGAAGCTAGCTCATAATAATATACACGTGGACAACTATGGTTGCTTGATCTGAGTTTGGTCTGTGGATAAACTGGCAACTACTCCCACCGACTCACCCACACACTCATTCACTCACTCATCCATCCACTCACCATCTCATTCACCCACCAGCTCATTCACTCACTCACCTACTCATTCACTCATCCATCCACTCACCACCTCATTCACTCACTCATCCATCCACTCACCAGCTCATTCACTCACAAGATCATCCACTCACCACTTCATTCACTCACCCATCCATCCACTCACCACCTCATTCACTCACAAGCTCATTCACTCACCACCTCATTCACTCACCAGCTCATTCACTTACTCACCTACTCATTCACCCACACACTCATTCACTCACTCATCTATCCACTCACCAACTCATTCACTCACAAGCTCATTCACTCACCACCTCATTCACCCACCAGCTCATTCACAAAACTCACCTACTCATTCACTCACTCATCCATCCACTCACCACCTCACTCACTCACTCATCCATCCACTCACCAACTCATTCACTCACAAGCTCATTCACTCACCACCTCATTCACCCACCAGCTCATTCACAAAACTCACCTACTCATTCACTCACACACTCATCCACGAATCCATTCACCAACTCAACCACCCACTACATTTCAAGGCACACACACACACTCCCTGCTCGTTATGGGGCCAGATGGATTACGTACAAAATACTTGTACAGGAAAATTGAGCTTTCAGGTACATATGGCGTACAGCCGTTTCACTGCGGACGATTAATATTTTTTTGTCTGTTTGTTTGTGTTTATCCCTAGTGATGGTGACTTTGTAGGATGAACGTTGAGATTTATAAGGTGCACGGGGTGACCAATAGGGTCTGAATTGGTCTGTAATAACTATAGGGCACTGATTTGTGGTCGACAGGTATGCGAATACGTGCAGGAGACATCGCCAGCATATCCCCGTCGCCGTTACAATCCACGCTCGTGATGATTTAGAGTTCAACGCATGCATGGTGCTGGCATTACATAAGCAGTGCTTCTCAGGCAGTGCTGCCCCTTAGCGCCGCGTGTTCACCGCGGTCCCTAACCCTCCCGAGTCTACACCCGCCTCGCACTGCCATTTTCCGCGATTACGCAATGGCAGCCACGTGGGGTGGCGGTGCACCACAACCCTTGCGGGGGATCCCCGCAGCCTCGCAACCCCGTTTGCTGGCTTTTAAAAAGACGAAAAGAAAACAACAGCACTTGGCTGCCCCAGATCAGGCCGCTGGAAATTCCCGCTTGGCGTCAGAGCGAGCCAGAGACTGAGACCATTGACATTGAGACCAGGGGTCCCCGACCCCAGGTCCGTGGCCTGTTAGGAACCGGGCCACACAACAGGAGGAGGTGAGCGGTGAGTCCGCGCGTGGCCCGCCCTCATTATTTAATTCACCGCTTCCGTCCGCGCCTCTCTCCCGCACTGCGCACTTGTCTCAGTCAAAGTTTTGGTATAAAGCCCACAAGCTAACCCCCATTAGCCAAAATGAGTAAAAAACAAACGTCGCTAGAGAGCTGCTTTGAAAAGGGGGAAAGACCCAATGATGACCCCCCCCCCCCCCACCGGTCCGTGAAAAAATTGTCTTCCATGAAACCGGTCCCTGGTGTCAAAAAGGTTGGGGACCGCTGGATTCAATAGTACCGCCAATGTTGGACATTCATAGCTG